TCACCAATCACCCAGCTTCTAAATCCTCGACCCCGACCTCTTCTTCTTTTCCAGCCCTTCACACCTCAGGAGTACACGAATGCTCCAATCTCTTACGGGAAAAAACCCACAAATGAACAAAAACCCTTCCTTACGTCCACTTCTTCCTCCAACTCTCCTTTCTCCTTACAGCCAAATTCCTTAAAATAACTGTCCTCACTCCCCATCTCCAGTTCTCCATCTCCCTTTCAGTCCACTACTCACTGCTCAAGTCCTTACTAGAATTCCATAGTGGATGCAAATGACTCCCTACTTACCAACCTCAGTGGGTTCTTTAAGTCCTTAATTTTGGAGCAGTAACACAAATTACCAGGCCCTCCTTAAAATCCTCTCCTCTTTTAGTATTTGTGATACCATTCTCTCCTCTGTATCTTCCTACCTTTTTGGCCCTTCCTTCTCCCACTTCTTGGATGTTGGTGTGCCCCATAGCTCCAGCTTTAATCTTTCCTGCTTTTCTATGCAATCCATTCAATACTCACTTCAAATCCATATAACCTCCTGATCTCTTCTAAGTTTTCCTAGTGAATGACATTACCATCTACCCAGTTATCTAAGCTATAGTCCTGGGGATACCAGATTTCTTACTCTCACCTAGATACAAGCAATTGTGATGTCCTACAATTTAAGTTTCTCTTGAATCCATCACATTAGCTCTTTGCCTCTGCAACCTAATCAGGTCATTGTCTCTCACCTAGAACATGCTATCATAAGATTAATAAGGACATAGGAGTAAAAAAATGCGAGTCCCCTCTTATAAGTAAGGAGGCACCATAAATACAATGAGGTAGATGCCAAAGGACCCCCAAACCTAGGGATTCTTCTCTTTAAAATGGACCTTAAAACTGTATAAATATAGGCAAATCATGTAATCATCTCAGGCTTCAGATTCTCAACTGCTGAGTGAAGAGTAAAGTGATGTATCAAAGGACCTTTGAGCCCTTCATACACACTCTATGTTTCTATTTCTACCAGACATTACTCAGACAGTTCATACCCCCAAGTATGCACCACACTGGCCACATAGGCAAAACAGCATTAGCGCAAGAGAAACAGGCTGTCACCTTTGCTGCCAAAATATATCAAGTATATCCTGATTCCCATCAATTTAAAAAACTAAACCTTCAATTGCAAGTGTCAAAGAAATAGAATGTAAGCAAAAGAAAAAGCCAGGAAAAAATCATAGAGAAATTTATCATGCATATAAAAATGCTATTTCAAAATAATTTCTTCAGGAATAAAGCAATACAGAGTAATGAGTTAGCAACAAAATGAGAGTGCCACAAACCATTCTGACAGCCAGTAATATTATGAACAGAATGCTCTTTCCACCCACAGGAAAATCGTGTGGGAATTGTACACTATCTAAAGTCAACCACCAACACATTGTGTATGGAATATGAGGTCAGAGAAAGCTTCAGAATCTGCTTTTCAGGGACAGGCTCTCAAAAGAAAGGTAACCCGCACTAAGCAGTGAAAATGCAGTCCAAATTCCATCCCAGTGTAATCACCCCCATCCATGGAGAAGCACCTGTCACTCTTTTGACAGTTTGGGTTCAGCTGCCCTTCCACTGCCTACTGAGCCAAGAAGTAATTTATTTTTTTAAATGGCATAAAAGGAGAGGATGGAGGACAGATGTTGCCAGCAAAACAACCACAAAGCTGACACCAACCTAAGTTGCAGCTCAAACCTTAGGGTAAATCAACTCAGGGGCCACACAGCCTGGATCCAAATCCCAATTTCACCACCTGCCAGCCTGGAAATTTTAACAATTCATTTCATTTCTCTGGGCCTCAGTTTCTTCATCTGTAAAATAGAACAATGACAGTGCCTACTTCACAGGTCAAGTGCTGGGAATAATGCCTGGCATACTGTCAGCACGATATAGATATTCTAGGTAATGTTATCATTATTATTATTGTCCTCACTGTTCTCAGACTAAATATTAGTGAGAAAACAACACTATAAAGTATACTCAAGTTCCAGTTTAACACTGTTACCAGATATTTTGTTCATAGTTCAATAACAGTGGTATCACTGTTGATATTTTCATTCCTATCCTCTAGAGCTCACAGTCAAATTCAATCACCAGGTGTTAAGTTCATACCACATGAAATCAGAAGCAGAAAGAAGCATAATTCAACATGCATCAAAAGTATAGCATTTACATAAAACAGAGTAACATTGAACCATAAAAAGGAATGAAATTCTGATACATGTTAAAACTTGGATGAACCTTGAAAACATGCCAAGTGAAATAAATCAGATACAAAACGATTAATAGTATATGATTCCACCTATATCAAGTACCTAGATGAGGCAAATCCATAGAGACACAAAGCAGAATAGTTTACAAGGAGCTGGGGTAGGGATTAAGGAGAATGGGGAGTTGTGTTTAATGGGTATAGAATTTCTGTTTGGAAAGATAAAAAAATTCTGGAAATGGATAATGATGATAACTAAATAACAGGATAATGTGCTTAATGCCAATGAAATGTACACTTAAAAGTGGCTAAAATAGTAATTTTATACTATGACTACTGTACCACAATTTTAAAAAGTATTTTTAAAAACACAGCCTGTATTTTCAACAAGAAAGTTAAAAATCAGTATCAGTCTTAATGGGATTAAAATAAATGATAGGTCATGTATTCTCAAGTTCCTAACTGTGGACACCAAAGGAATCAGTATCAATTCTTAGCTGGCCTTGGTTTAAAATACATACCTGAAAATGGGTCCATACTTTGCAAATTACATAAGGAACATTATTTCACTTTGTTGATACAATTTTTTTTTTTTAGCAACTTGAAGGGAAAGAGAAAGAGAACTACACTGAGGAGATACCTGTATGTGAGGTCAATGAATAAGGGTGGCTTTATGAGGAGGTATTTATCCATATAGAAACATCGTAACATGAGTGCAGTAGTATACTTGAGCAGGGCACCATAAATGGATGTGTAAATCAACTGGTATTCAATTCAGAAGTAGAGAGGGTTCCCATGTACTGATAAACCATAATTTCAGTCACTAAAATATCCCCAAATTGAAAACAGAAACTGAAGTCCATTATTTTGATATATATAAAATGAAATATTTGAAATCCCTACTCCAAACACCCCAAGAAAAAGGCATATTACAAAGACACATTGAAAATGAATTTAGTTAAGTTACCATTTTTCCCAGAATGGCTTAGGATAAGGGATTCTAGTTAGGATAATTTAATTCCCTAGTAAACTCAGTAACTACCATATATCAAATATCATTCAAGGAATAATAATTTTCAGAGAACTAGCATGCAATTTTCAAAGAACCTAAGGCAAAAACCAGACTAATAATGTTACAAAGTTGAAACATAAAGGGAGGTTAAAATGTGTTCAGTATACCTAGCGTTTAAGAAGGCAAGGGATTGTTTAGTGCATTTAAAAATTTTTCATCCAAGGCAGCCATTATGATTTTCATTTCTAAAGGAATAAAGCTTTCAACTATCAAAAAATTTTTCATTCTCTGAGGGCTCCAAACACAAGGACTGTACTGAGCAATCTTATTTGCCACTTACCTCATTCGTAAAGATGAGGATGGTGAATGTGGTATGTAAGGGAGTAAAAAATTAAGCTTTCCAGGTATTTTAATTCCAGGCATATTAAACTTAATACTAAAGATATTAGAAAGTGTCAAATCATTTGGACAGATGAGTGAACAAACTCACAGAATTAACATGTAACTATTTTGAAAAGCCTAGAATTTGATTGTTAGTAGTAGAGTTATTTAAAAAACAACTTTGAAGTCACACACAAATCTGAACTTAAAGCCTGGCTCCACCATTTAGTCACTATAAATTTTGGCAAGTTAATTTCACATAACTAAGCCTCGGTTGCCTTCTCTGTAAATTGAGGAGAGTAATCCCTAACTCAAAGGTTGTTGTGTAAACTAAGGAGAAAACATGTGCAAAGTGCTGAACACAATTCATGCAACAACGAGCAACTACTATTAACTCCCTAACCTTATTCTACTCTGTCCCACAAATAGAAGAATCAAATTAAAATTTTGCTAAGTATGATAATGCTGTATTAAAAAATGTAACATACTTAGAGTACAAGAAGATAGAAAACCAAACCATCAGTGAGATCAAAGATTTCAGAATCCTGCTTCTCCTCCCCTATCTAGTCAGGTTGCTTTTGTAATAACCCAAATTCCTTCATCAACAATATGAATCCTATTATTGTTTGCGCCCTAAATATTCCTGGTGGGGTTCTGTTGCTTATTTATTTTGATGGCTAACTTTGCAAGGGGAATTGTCATTTCTTGAAAACCAAAAAAAATTTCCAGGAAACAGGAACAGTTTAACTGTTCCATCCATCTCAATAGCTGACTGGATCCCATTCGGATCATGAATTTATCACAAGAGATTTTCACATTATTGCACCACCTCCTTATCCAACAAATACAGCCGTTAATGAGCAAAACTGCAGACCGCAGAGAACGAATGAGCTTGAGAAACACCGAAACTCAAAACTTGGTGCCCTCAGTAAGGATCCTCGTGGGGGAGGGGGAGGGGATGAGTTACACTGCCCATGGAAATAAACATTCTGTCTCCATAAACAGGGCTGGAGTCTCGTGAAGCAACGAGCGGAGGGGAGCGGGTGAGGTGGGCCTGGAAGCGAGAGAGGAAGTAGGCGGCCCCGGGGGCTGAGGAAGGGTCTGCGCCACGAGGGAGGGGAGAGACAGAGCCCATGGCCACCCCTCAAGTGCAGGCGGAGAGAAGTGGCCGCTCAGCCCAGCCCCAGGAACAGCACAGCCTCAGGAGTCTGGGAAGACTGGAAGGGAATGGGGACCTTGCCGACCAAGGAAAGACGGGGTAGGGGCGAGTTCTCGGTCGCCTTCGGAACGGGCTGAGGCAGTCCCTGCTGCCCTCCCGGCGCCGGAGCGGGGAAAGGTGGGACCCAACGGGGAGACCAGAGGTTACCTGTCTCAGCTGCCTGCCCACCGATCTCCACTTCCGCAGACTCAGGGTTACCACGGACGACCCAGGCCACGCTGAGTGACGTCACCCACACGCGCCCGGGCCGCAGACGGCTTGGCCCGCCCCCTTGGGAGAGCGGGGCTCGGCCACGGGGCTAGTGTGCGCAGGCGCAGAGGTGCCGCGGGCATGGGATGGCGTGAGTGGTCTTTGTAGGGTTGTCTTGTTACCCAACTTCTCCTAACAGCAAAATCTTATGGATACGTAAGAAAAAAATGTGACTGAAATACAAAAGTGCACTTTTGGCCCCTTGTTTTACTCTGCCTCTGCTATATACAACCTTTGTATAGATTTTCGCTCCACTACAATTTATTGACGTCCTATGCACCAGGCAAGCACGGTTACAGAATCCGGGGGTCCAGCGGTGAACAAACACCTCTGTGCCTACCCTCATGGAGATTTCGTTCTAGTTGAGAAAGCGACCATTGAATAACTCAGATGCGTTCGTAGAGATCCTGAGTGTGTGGAAGAAAAACAGCTGCTCAGAAAAATACTAAGAAACTAAAGGAGATAAAGTAGTTTAGATATCAAGGAAGTGCCCTCTGAAGAGGCTTATTGAACTGAGAAGAGAAGACAGCTCTGTGAAGTTCTGAGGACGAGCAACCAAGAAGACTGACAAAAAAGATGAAAAGCTATGAGGAGGGAACAGAATGTGGTATTCCTAGTGAATGACATTACCATCTACCCAGTTATCTAAGCTATAGTCCTGGGGATACCAGATTTCTTACTCTCACCTAGATACAAGCAATTGTGATGTCCTACAATTTAAGTTTCTCTTGAATCCATCACATTAGCTCTTTGCCTCTGCAACCTAATCAGGTCATTGTCTCTCACCTAGAACATGCTATCATAAGATTAATAAGGACATAGGAGTAAAAAAATGCGAGTCCCCTCTTATAAGTAAGGAGGCACCATAAATACAATGAGGTAGATGCCAAAGGACCCCCAAACCTAGGGATTCTTCTCTTTAAAATGGACCTTAAAACTGTATAAATATAGGCAAATCATGTAATCATCTCAGGCTTCAGATTCTCAACTGCTGAGTGAAGAGTAAAGTGATGTATCAAAGGACCTTTGAGCCCTTCATACACACTCTATGTTTCTATTTCTACCAGACATTACTCAGACAGTTCATACCCCCAAGTATGCACCACACTGGCCACATAGGCAAAACAGCATTAGCGCAAGAGAAACAGGCTGTCACCTTTGCTGCCAAAATATATCAAGTATATCCTGATTCCCATCAATTTAAAAAACTAAACCTTCAATTGCAAGTGTCAAAGAAATAGAATGTAAGCAAAAGAAAAAGCCAGGAAAAAATCATAGAGAAATTTATCATGCATATAAAAATGCTATTTCAAAATAATTTCTTCAGGAATAAAGCAATACAGAGTAATGAGTTAGCAACAAAATGAGAGTGCCACAAACCATTCTGACAGCCAGTAATATTATGAACAGAATGCTCTTTCCACCCACAGGAAAATCGTGTGGGAATTGTACACTATCTAAAGTCAACCACCAACACATTGTGTATGGAATATGAGGTCAGAGAAAGCTTCAGAATCTGCTTTTCAGGGACAGGCTCTCAAAAGAAAGGTAACCCGCACTAAGCAGTGAAAATGCAGTCCAAATTCCATCCCAGTGTAATCACCCCCATCCATGGAGAAGCACCTGTCACTCTTTTGACAGTTTGGGTTCAGCTGCCCTTCCACTGCCTACTGAGCCAAGAAGTAATTTATTTTTTTAAATGGCATAAAAGGAGAGGATGGAGGACAGATGTTGCCAGCAAAACAACCACAAAGCTGACACCAACCTAAGTTGCAGCTCAAACCTTAGGGTAAATCAACTCAGGGGCCACACAGCCTGGATCCAAATCCCAATTTCACCACCTGCCAGCCTGGAAATTTTAACAATTCATTTCATTTCTCTGGGCCTCAGTTTCTTCATCTGTAAAATAGAACAATGACAGTGCCTACTTCACAGGTCAAGTGCTGGGAATAATGCCTGGCATACTGTCAGCACGATATAGATATTCTAGGTAATGTTATCATTATTATTATTGTCCTCACTGTTCTCAGACTAAATATTAGTGAGAAAACAACACTATAAAGTATACTCAAGTTCCAGTTTAACACTGTTACCAGATATTTTGTTCATAGTTCAATAACAGTGGTATCACTGTTGATATTTTCATTCCTATCCTCTAGAGCTCACAGTCAAATTCAATCACCAGGTGTTAAGTTCATACCACATGAAATCAGAAGCAGAAAGAAGCATAATTCAACATGCATCAAAAGTATAGCATTTACATAAAACAGAGTAACATTGAACCATAAAAAGGAATGAAATTCTGATACATGTTAAAACTTGGATGAACCTTGAAAACATGCCAAGTGAAATAAATCAGATACAAAACGATTAATAGTATATGATTCCACCTATATCAAGTACCTAGATGAGGCAAATCCATAGAGACACAAAGCAGAATAGTTTACAAGGAGCTGGGGTAGGGATTAAGGAGAATGGGGAGTTGTGTTTAATGGGTATAGAATTTCTGTTTGGAAAGATAAAAAAATTCTGGAAATGGATAATGATGATAACTAAATAACAGGATAATGTGCTTAATGCCAATGAAATGTACACTTAAAAGTGGCTAAAATAGTAATTTTATACTATGACTACTGTACCACAATTTTAAAAAGTATTTTTAAAAACACAGCCTGTATTTTCAACAAGAAAGTTAAAAATCAGTATCAGTCTTAATGGGATTAAAATAAATGATAGGTCATGTATTCTCAAGTTCCTAACTGTGGACACCAAAGGAATCAGTATCAATTCTTAGCTGGCCTTGGTTTAAAATACATACCTGAAAATGGGTCCATACTTTGCAAATTACATAAGGAACATTATTTCACTTTGTTGATACAATTTTTTTTTTTTAGCAACTTGAAGGGAAAGAGAAAGAGAACTACACTGAGGAGATACCTGTATGTGAGGTCAATGAATAAGGGTGGCTTTATGAGGAGGTATTTATCCATATAGAAACATCGTAACATGAGTGCAGTAGTATACTTGAGCAGGGCACCATAAATGGATGTGTAAATCAACTGGTATTCAATTCAGAAGTAGAGAGGGTTCCCATGTACTGATAAACCATAATTTCAGTCACTAAAATATCCCCAAATTGAAAACAGAAACTGAAGTCCATTATTTTGATATATATAAAATGAAATATTTGAAATCCCTACTCCAAACACCCCAAGAAAAAGGCATATTACAAAGACACATTGAAAATGAATTTAGTTAAGTTACCATTTTTCCCAGAATGGCTTAGGATAAGGGATTCTAGTTAGGATAATTTAATTCCCTAGTAAACTCAGTAACTACCATATATCAAATATCATTCAAGGAATAATAATTTTCAGAGAACTAGCATGCAATTTTCAAAGAACCTAAGGCAAAAACCAGACTAATAATGTTACAAAGTTGAAACATAAAGGGAGGTTAAAATGTGTTCAGTATACCTAGCGTTTAAGAAGGCAAGGGATTGTTTAGTGCATTTAAAAATTTTTCATCCAAGGCAGCCATTATGATTTTCATTTCTAAAGGAATAAAGCTTTCAACTATCAAAAAATTTTTCATTCTCTGAGGGCTCCAAACACAAGGACTGTACTGAGCAATCTTATTTGCCACTTACCTCATTCGTAAAGATGAGGATGGTGAATGTGGTATGTAAGGGAGTAAAAAATTAAGCTTTCCAGGTATTTTAATTCCAGGCATATTAAACTTAATACTAAAGATATTAGAAAGTGTCAAATCATTTGGACAGATGAGTGAACAAACTCACAGAATTAACATGTAACTATTTTGAAAAGCCTAGAATTTGATTGTTAGTAGTAGAGTTATTTAAAAAACAACTTTGAAGTCACACACAAATCTGAACTTAAAGCCTGGCTCCACCATTTAGTCACTATAAATTTTGGCAAGTTAATTTCACATAACTAAGCCTCGGTTGCCTTCTCTGTAAATTGAGGAGAGTAATCCCTAACTCAAAGGTTGTTGTGTAAACTAAGGAGAAAACATGTGCAAAGTGCTGAACACAATTCATGCAACAACGAGCAACTACTATTAACTCCCTAACCTTATTCTACTCTGTCCCACAAATAGAAGAATCAAATTAAAATTTTGCTAAGTATGATAATGCTGTATTAAAAAATGTAACATACTTAGAGTACAAGAAGATAGAAAACCAAACCATCAGTGAGATCAAAGATTTCAGAATCCTGCTTCTCCTCCCCTATCTAGTCAGGTTGCTTTTGTAATAACCCAAATTCCTTCATCAACAATATGAATCCTATTATTGTTTGCGCCCTAAATATTCCTGGTGGGGTTCTGTTGCTTATTTATTTTGATGGCTAACTTTGCAAGGGGAATTGTCATTTCTTGAAAACCAAAAAAAATTTCCAGGAAACAGGAACAGTTTAACTGTTCCATCCATCTCAATAGCTGACTGGATCCCATTCGGATCATGAATTTATCACAAGAGATTTTCACATTATTGCACCACCTCCTTATCCAACAAATACAGCCGTTAATGAGCAAAACTGCAGACCGCAGAGAACGAATGAGCTTGAGAAACACCGAAACTCAAAACTTGGTGCCCTCAGTAAGGATCCTCGTGGGGGAGGGGGAGGGGATGAGTTACACTGCCCATGGAAATAAACATTCTGTCTCCATAAACAGGGCTGGAGTCTCGTGAAGCAACGAGCGGAGGGGAGCGGGTGAGGTGGGCCTGGAAGCGAGAGAGGAAGTAGGCGGCCCCGGGGGCTGAGGAAGGGTCTGCGCCACGAGGGAGGGGAGAGACAGAGCCCATGGCCACCCCTCAAGTGCAGGCGGAGAGAAGTGGCCGCTCAGCCCAGCCCCAGGAACAGCACAGCCTCAGGAGTCTGGGAAGACTGGAAGGGAATGGGGACCTTGCCGACCAAGGAAAGACGGGGTAGGGGCGAGTTCTCGGTCGCCTTCGGAAC